TTTTCGTTAGTAGCTCGCAAAGCGTGTAACACAAGTGTGCTATTATTTCCATTGCTTAAATTGGATTGTGTGTGATCGATTGAAATAATGATACGGTTCGTAGATTTGTTCAAACTAGGTGGGAAACCTTCTATTGAGGTAATCTTTGCACAAAGATACGGACAAAACCTTTGCACAAAGATACGGACTCATAGCTCGGACTTTCAAGTGTCCAGTGTGCGATAAGGACATGATTCTATGCACTGCTGAATTTCTTTCGGACAAATATCGTTGGCAATGTCGTAGTTCCAAAATAACGAGATCAGTGAGAACTAGTTCGTTTTTTGGCAAATCGAAGTTATCAATGATCCAAATTTTACAATTGACATATTTTTGGATTCATAAGTGCACCCAGATTCAGGCTCAGTGGAAATTTCAATGTTCCCCGCACACGACCGTCGACTGGTACTATTTCTGTCGGTTATGGTTAATTTTTTTTCTAATAGGCGGCGTGACTATTCCATGCGATTCACATTATATCCTGCAGATGGCGTTACTTCAAAAAACCTAAGTCACTAGCAGCCAACTTCAGTTCGGAGTCGTATACTGCAGTTTTACCCTAACCTTGTATGTATATATATATATATATATATATAGCCTATGGCAGATTTTTATTCATACGATAAAGTTTTTCTTTTAGTAACAGTACTAAACAAAATTTAAGAATGCAGCGAGAAGAGAAGCAGTTGGATTCTGCTCTTGAAGCAATTATTATGCGAGTAAATGATTTGAAGACAGCAATAGCTGCAATGATATTCAAACTTGAACATGAATATGAAACACTTAATTGGCCAAATTTTCTTGATAATTTTGCCCTTATTTCTGGTCATGTAAGTATACATTTCAGCTTGAGTTATATTATTCACAATAATTTGCTGTAATTCATTATTCAAATGTTTTTGCATAGCTAACAAGTCTTTCAAAGATTTTGGGAAATGATAAAGCACCTATCATGAGAAATCTTGCAGTGCTACCATTGTTATTAAGTCCTGAAAAAGACGAAGATTTAATGCGTCTCACAGAATGTCGAATATCTACATTTGCCCATGATTTAGTACCAGATTATTTACGAACAAAACCAGAACCACAGGCTGAGCAGAAGATGATGCAGCTAGAAGTAAAGGCCAATAATTTGAGCTATGATACTGCACATGTAAGAGATTAAAATATTGTACATAAAATGTAGCTGAATACCACCAGGATCTGCGTGATCCATTTGTATTATTGGGTTTTTTTATTATTAACTATTGGGGATGCAATCAATGTCAGGTATTTCGTAAACGTTTTTCTTAAATCTATAATATATTTTTATAACGGATCTACAAACGGCACTTCTATAAGTTCTCCCATAAGACATTACATAAAATATACTGCAAAAGCCTTAAAAATGAATTGTACAGAGAAATATGTAGTATCAATAATGATAGGAGAATACAGGTAATTGAAGGTGTTCTATTTTTCTGTTAACGTGCTAACTAAACAACAACTAGGACTGCAATGTAAGCGACTATCCAGTTAGCTTTGATGCTTCATATCGTTCCATTCGCTTTGGACCGAATTCTAGCAGAGGTTCTTAAAAAAATAAAATATAGAAAAGATATAGGTAGAAGGTATAAGTATGGTAAAATCAAGTTATGCTTAAACTATGCATTAAATTATCCAACCCCTTACCCTATTAATACGGTCTAGGAAGACCTTTCCATAGTTTAATATAGTTCACTTTTGTTTGGAAACAAGCTGTCAGAGGCAGTATGCAACACATTTCTGTTTCTTTCTATTTATTCTAATTTAATCAGTTGTATTACTGCTGCTGCTATTTTCACAAATTTTCCTATAATACTTTGAATTTGTACAAGATTAAAAATTACCTCCACCAGCTCATTTAACAAGGGTCCAATCGGTCCAGTCAGCGAGTGGAACGCAGAACTTTTTCTATAAGAGTTTCAGTGTAATTTACCTGGATTTCAGAAACAAGTAACCCAATATAATAAAGTCCTCAGTCACGTTTGGGATATAGCAAATAAAGCTCGAGAAGAATGGGAAGGAGAAGCTGGTTCAAGAGCAACACAGGCACAAACGAGCAGTGCAGCTGATACTCATGTTCTTGTAGCTGCTGTTGGTGTCGGAAAAGGACTTAAGGTATATCGGCGAAGAAGGCCAGCCGCCGTGTATATCATCTGATATGATACTTATCACAACTCCCCTTGTAACACTTATACTGGTTCAAGTACATCTTCCATATATTGAGATACAAAATTCCATAAAAGTGGCTAGCCATCTATAATTAGATCTTCTTGGAATAGTTAGTACTAAAAATATGTGCTGTCAATGATTTTTTTTCAGTCTGACTCTGTTCAAATGGTTCAGTCCGGCGTTAGTCCTGTTCCTAGTGGTATGATGGTTGGAAGATCTGGAGGACAACCTCAAGCAGCTGGTCAGGGACCTTTAGGAAATGCTCAAAGTAATATTTTATTTAGTATAAGTAACCATAAAATAATACCATTTATTAAAATACTTTTATTACAGTGGGACAAATGGGTAAAACGCCTAGCGCTATAAAAACAAATATCAAAGCAGCATCGCAAATTCATCCTTATGGACGATAGAAAAAGACTATAATTAACTACAAAATGTAAGTTATCCTTGGCGGAATACACTATCATATGTAAATAACTATAATAAGTGTTTATAAAGTATACTCTATATTAATATAACAAAAATAATGTGGTAGTCAGGTGAGCGGATAAATAACATATCCTTTGAACGGTCAACTATATTCATTGATGTTTTCTCGATACAATAGCCTGAGAACGTGGTGATAATTTTTCACTCATTACGGGCAGGATTTCTGTTGGAAATCCATGTTCCTTGAGCCAACATACACGATCCATTAAAATTAGAGATTCAGCAGGGCTTTGAAGCAGCAATTGAAGTCCAGTATAAACTTCTACTGCTTTTAATTTATGTTCATATTTTTCCCACAGTGACATAATATCTTTTTGTAAATCCTCAGTTATTGTTATCATACCTTAAAATAACAGCAAAGATTACCTACATTGTACAAATATACGAATTTCTTCATCTTTTAATATGTTCTTACATGATATCGATTTATCACTTTCTTCCACGATGCGTTCAAAGGTATATCTCTTCAATGAATCCTTCAAGTACGTCGAAAAATTCAAACATTGCGATTTCCTTGTGGCTTTCCGAACATTTTTCTTGAGGCAAAGTCTATCTAAAACATTTATGGAATTATTTTGATACGCAATGTACATTGAACAAGATATATCCAAGTTACGCAATTTACTAACTCTGCTTAGCATATAATTCCAAGATTGCCCTAGCTAGAACATAAAAGGAATGTTCACTGTGGAAATGTTCCGACTTGTTATCCCATCTAGCTGCTGGCTCTTGACAAGCCAACCGTAGAAAGGGTCTTCTCAAAAATAAACCAATATCTAGGTTGCATCTTCCAGCCGCCGTTTTCAATGCTCGGGATATTGGAAAATTCTCAAAATATTCTTTTCCTGTCATATCTTGGCTATTACTGACAAGTGATAATTTATGGTAGCAACAAGAAATTAAAATGAGAAGGCGAGCAGCTTTCATTTTAGAAAATATTTCAGATGCATAGATACTGAGATCTCCACAGGCATGGAGTCCAATGAGGCAAAACTTCTCAGTCACTGCAGATTTCTGCAATATAGACTCTATTGTTTTCACATAATTATTTGTGATTTTACACCAGACGTATTGAACCTGTTTTTTTGATTTAGGATACAAATTATTTTGCCGGTTGTTTGCACAATTCACATTTTTTATATTTGCTTCCAGACCTAGAACTTTATATCCATATAGATGATGCAACAGTTGACAAATGTAACCCTAAAATATTTGTTATCTCTATTACATAAAATTACCTAAGAAAAATTGAAAAGCTAATCGATTAAATTGTTCAGAGTAATCATTATTATTGCTTACCAAACCTGCTCCTAAATCAATGATGTTTTCTAGTTTGTGTGCCCTACATTGTTCATGTACTAATTGTGCAAGGTGAATGATTTCATGTTGTTTTTTTTTATTTATTCCTTTTAGAAAACATTCTGGTAATTGTATTGAGAAGGCAGGATTGGCTCGCGGTAGTCTATCTAACGTATTACACTTCTCAACAAATCTTTTAAGAGACTCTGGCCAGTTCATCTGCAATATAACATGCTTTATTTTATTGTCACGTTGAAATTAATACTATGCATTCAAAGAAAAATTTATCTACCTGCACCAATTTTCTGGAAACAAAATCATTAAGTTCCTGATTTTGTGAATTTTTTAAGCATTCCATCCAGCCATCAGGACACGACTCTAAATATCTTTTAACAAGAATTTCCGTCACTGGGGCATTATACAGCCATTGTATGTCATAAAATAACTCTAGAGAGTCTACGAAGTAATCAATCTCAGCATTCTCCTCAAAATGGATCATCTGATTGAAAATCGCATATACATAAATATTAATATCAATATAATTGTCAGAGTGATTATAACATATTCTATCAACGAATATCCTACAATTTAAAGATAGAAATAAATAAAAGTAAAACAAATTTGTACGCATTTATTGAAGACATCTATGTATAACAAATAATTTACATCATAATACAATAATAAATGAGATAACACTATGTTCTATCTCAAAATTGTATCTTTACACAATAATATTTAGTGCGCTGCTTGTGCTTGACCCTCTTCTTCCTGTTCAAAGATGACCCATTTCTCAGAGGTTCTATTTAACAGATCCGTATTAACTGGACCTAACAGCGAGCGACCAACTGTGACGTTTTTATTATCTGGATTCAAATATTTTTCAGCCACTTCCATTAGCTGTTCCTTGTTTACAGATTTCAGATCTTCTCTGTGTTTCTGAATTTCATCATCAGATAGCTGGTTTATAAACTTTGTTATACCTCTGCTTCCAGGAGGTACAGGTGCATCAACTTGTTGAAAAACACCAAGTTTTGCCTCATCAATGTCCTGCTGGACAAAGGAATATTTCTTTAGGAACTCATAGGTTTTGTCAAACAGGTCAAAAGTTCTTATAGAATTAGGATCCCTGTATGAGTAGAAAGAAAATATTCCATTTGGAGAAAGCCTAGCTCCACCTCCATAGGCACCACCCTTCTCTCGTACTTCCGGATGTAAATAAGTAGAAGTCACCAGTTGAGAAAGTACTCTAGTCGGTGCAAAATCAGGATGCGTATAAGGAACAGTGAGAATAGCCTTGGACGTATAATTTACTGGAAATGGCAAAACATGATGAATAGCATTATTTTCTGGTGAATTCTGTTGCTTGGCAAAGGTATCAACATTTTTTGGAGTTCCTTTTAATGCAAAATAAAATTTCTCAGTATTCTTAAGAATACTATCTGCATTATCTGCAGACAAGTTAATGGCTGATCTTAAGTATGTTTTGTTCAAAATATGCTGAGCAATCTGTTGCATTTGTTCCAAAATAGGGCTAAGATTTTGAGTCTGAGCAATTTTCTTCATCCTTTGAACAAATTGCAAACCTGACAAACTTTCCTTACGCCGTGATCCAGGGGAAACTAAACTTGCTGCACTGCTCATGGCATAAATATGTCCGCTGTCTGCGATACCATTTGCTAAATCAGCTGCAGTAATTTTCACAAGTGTTTCAAATCTTGACAAATCGGTCAGCCTAACATTATTAAATAATTCTATCCAAAGCTGCCACATATCACAGGTATTTCGATCAAGACTGTAGGAATGCAGAAAAACTCCTTCTTCGTATCTTAATACATTGTTCTTGTCCTCAGCCACGTGATTAGATAAACTCAACCCACCAGTCTTCAAGTGTATTATACGATCGAAACTTCTATAATCATAATTCTTCGTTCCCATCTTGGTAACGATCGAATTGAATAGCGGCACTAAGTCCTTTAATTCTAATGAGATATCCCGGGTATTTACTATGGCCCTATAGTAACATACTCCGTTGGTAGGTTGAATAGACATTTGTAGAGGCACATCGTGTATCTTCAAATCCTTGATCTCATATCTTTCAATGTCTTTTTTGATATCTTGAATTGTTAATGTTGGCAAAACGTCAACGTCTTCCTTCTTCTGCTGTTCAGCTAGAAGTTTCTGTCCATCATCATAAATTTTTTGCAGATCATCCTCAGAAAGAGCTTCTAATTTTCTTTTAAGTATATTATTCTCAGCAGCAGCTATCTTTTGCTCAGTTCTCTCATCTGGTGACATTGTTAGAACTAATCTGTGGGAGTTTCTTGCTAGGTATTTCTCAACGAGATTTTCAAAATGTCTAGGATTTTGTTTTAAAGATTCTTTAAGTTTTGTCACAGATTCATTGATCCTCATTGATTGAATAATGTTTCCATTGTGATTCCAAAGAGGGGTCAAATTGAACAAGAGATTCAGGCCGAAATTAGAGCTTTGGTGTTTCACATCTAACTCTATTCCATGTAAAACAGCTTCTACGTGATCCTTTTCGAAACCTTCAACAATGACTTTTTTAACAGTTTCTTTAAATACTTCTTCAACTCTTTCAAAGTCTTCACTCTTTACCCCTTGAAGACCGACGACAAACATAGTGTCTCTGCATTGTGAATCATAGCCCGTAACGGGGGAAAAACTTGTACTTATGCTAGATTCGATCAAACTTTTGTAGAATGCTGAAGTAGGCCCGCTCAATAAAAGTTTAGATAATACATGAAGTTCAAACGTGGCTTGAATGTCAGTGATATCATTACAAAGATGGGCAATGGCAATTGAATTTTGTCTGTTAGAATCAGCAGCCATAGGATCCGGTCGACAGGTTATATGTTCCTTTCTGGGATGCTGCCAGCGGTTCTCAGGAGGAACAGCAGACATGGAGCTATCTATCTCATCAATAGAAGCAAGATAAGTTTCGTTGAGATACCTTAAGTGATGTTCTAGTGGAAAATTTCCATATGAAAATATACGTGAATTTGAGGGATGATAATATTTTGCATGGAACTTCAGTAGGTCTTCGTAAGTTAAATTAGGAATAACCAACGGGTCACCACCGGAAATTACACTGTACGTGTGACTTGGTAATATTAAGTTTAACAACTTTTCAGCAAATATAGTTTGATTCTCACTAAATGCACCTTTCATCTCATTGAAGACTACTCCTTGAAATATTATACGAGAATTCTTATCATTTATATCTGCATGCTCTAATCTCCATCCTTCTTGGTGAAAATCAAGTTCCCTTAAATTTGGTTTAAATACAGAGTCCAAATAGACAGATTGAAGATTCTTGAAATCCTTAAGATTTTGTGTAGAAAATGGATAAATCGTGTAATCTGGTCCTGTCATGGCATTCATGAATGTAGCTAGAGATCTACGCAGCATCTTGAAAAATGGATCTCTGCAAGGATACTTCTCACTGCCACACAGTGTGGTGTGTTCAAGGATGTGTGGTAATCCTGTAGAATCCATGGGTGTTGTTCGAAAGCCAATTGAAAATACATTATTGCTGTCATCACGGTCTAAATGTAGGTATTTGGCTCTGGTAGTTATATGTCTCAGTCTTATAGCTGTCAGGTGCATCTCTTCAATTTTTGAAACCTCTTCAACTGCAAAACCTTGTATAACAACCCCCTCTTTGAAATATATTGCATTTTCTTGCGTTGAGAATTGAGTTGATGTAGAGTTGACATAAGCATTTAAACATGTATGAAAATTGCATAGCCGGTACACTTTTTTTTGCAGCTGTGGTTTAATCAATTGACTCTTTTTAGATAAGCCAAATAGATGAAACATTGTAGACTGACTACTTCTCTTTCAGCAAAAATATATCTGCAAGAATAGTAATCATAATCCGTGAAACATAAAAAGAATGTAAATATAATTTTATACTTATCTTCAGATTTAAATATTTACCTATCATATAAACAAATATTCTCAAAGCATATTTGACACTACTTACAAATATTTATTATAATTGCCATTTATTCATTCAATAAAATGTCATTTTATAACTAATTATTGTAACTACTCACATTAGTGGCATAAAATTCATTTAGAAAATTCATTTCCATCTTGTCCTATTAAAATATAATGAAAAAAAATATAAAAAACTTAATTCTTACCTTTCCTTATGATTTGATAGTTATTTTTTAGAAATATGTAAAACTTTCATTTGATTCTTTCACGAATTTTCTGATAATTATATATCATCAATCAAATCCACACGTGAGAATAGAATGTTCCTCCTTCCTTCCTTTCCTTATGGCTGTATCACCAATAGGGGACATATGTCAGTAACTGCAGAGATGAGTGGGGAGATGCACAACGCTACGGTTTTAGGCGATACCAAAAGTATGGCGCTAAATCGTAGCGGCATGTGCGGGAGTAGGATTTCGTGATCATCGCCTCTGTCGATGTTACAGATTTCGCGTTGCCGCGCGGGTCATGATCATTGTTCCAGCCGATATTGGAGTCAGCGAACAAGGAGACTAGAGTAAAGGAGTCCCATCTTAATAGAGGAATCAACGAAAAAACGACACCAGAAATGCGTCAAAAATAGGAAATTCACTATTTCGCCGATGGCGTCGCTGTTGTCAATAAGGAACCTATATATAGATATAGAAGCCATGTAGATTTAAAAATAATTGCGTGCTACGACGGGTTCTCTAGCGGAGTCAGCGCCGCAAGTGTCGTTTCGGGCAACCTCAATTTTAACAGCTTTTCGGTGTCATTCCTTATATACATAGATGGGACTCCTCTACTCTAGTCTCCATGTCAGCGAAAATGAATGGATTGCTCAGTGGTGGGGAAAAAGTTGCCGCCCCTCACAAACCGTTCTTGACAAACAGGCGGGGCAGCAAGATCTTCCGTCCAATCGAACCCTAAACATTTGTATGGACGTAATGCGCAAACAAATGTGTATATTCAAATAAATTTCAAAGTTATAAAAAATGCATAGAATTATTGATTTTCACTCTTTACCTTTTATCATGCCGAAAATGAACATTAAAAAATGAATTACGAAATTCGTTGGTAAATGAAACGACCGAGAACAGTTCAAAGAGAAATTTTGAAATATCATAGATAAAGATCTATAGAAAATTTAATTTAGTATTAAACGAGCATCGTGGCTGAGTCAATACCTGTTAAGATACAACGCTGCTGGTTACGGGTTCGAACCCCATGAAGAACTCTTTTTTCATCTTTTTTTTTCATTTTACTACAAAAATTATTCAAGGTTCATCTCTTTTAACCTTTCTAGGTTGCCGAAACTTTATTTTAAGTTTATATAAAATATTTTTAAAAAGAGGTCATCGGGATCGAACCCGTACTGTCAGAATTGCGAGCCGACACACAAAACGCCGTTTTGGCGTTTTTTTCTTACAATTTTAATTTATTAATATTGCCAGGAGAAAAATACAAACTCATTCATGTATTCCGTGATATCAACACTATTTTTTAAATATTTTATCTATGACAGAATCAACTAATATTTTAAACGCCCGCTCGTGCCTCACGACCGACGAGTTAAGCGGTTCCGTGTCTTCTCTCGCTGAGGGGTCTGCTGTTGCTGTTAATGCTGCCGCTGGTTCTCAGAGTAACCCGAACCTTCACCAACCAACCTTCTCGAACGAAGCCGCTCATCAGATATTGCCTAAATATTTTTTTTATTTGCAATCTTCAGTTCCAACGCCCAGTCTAAACTCGATAAGATTTACTATGAGAAAATAATTAGCTCACTTCATTACCTGGAATCAATATTCTTGAGAAGCAAATATGGAAATGAGCATTATCTCTGTCCGTAATTGTTCGTCCACGTGGAGAAGGGTGGTGCGAAAGTTCTTAACTGGTGTGCATCTTTATATTATTCTGCTTATATGTAAAGCAAGCGAAACCACAATAGTAAGCAGTTGAATAAACGATGAAATTCTAGAAATACAACTTCCGAAAAAAGTAAAACAAACAGATGTTTCTGGCGTCTGGCTAGTGCACCTGGTTACGAATCGGGAGGTCTATGGTTCGAGACCCCCCTGTAGAGAGCACTTTCTTTTTACAAAAAAAATGTGCTTTTGCAAATGGGATTAACAGATTAAAGAGTATATCCAATTAATTTATTTATCTTATTACAATAAAGGCATAACAACGACAACCTGCGGGCTTCCACATCACCCAAAAGGTGCCGCAGTCGATGCGTTCCCATTATTTAACGTAGCGGGTCCCCAGTAGGCCTATACTACGATCGGCAATATCAACATTACACAGACGATCCATTTAAGTAATTAAAGAATAAACGAATGGCAATAGGATATCAAAAGGTTTCGATTGGAAAATCTTAATAATATGAGTTCTGCACTCAAATATAAAGTTTATTCATTGAAGATGATTACGACAATTATTTTACATTATATTTCACACACACATGACGCGTGTAAATATCTAAAAGTAAGAGAAATTGAGAAAAGGACAATTGGTAAAAATAGTATATCGGTCTATTGAGATTACGTACTGGCGACTTCAACACAACAGTCTAGTAATCTGACGGATCGAATCTGAGCGGGCGTCTGCAACAATGTTACTAACTATCGCGCGACTAGCAATATACATTGGGGCCTGCAGCGTCAGGTCGTTCACAGTCGTACAGGCAGCAGCATCATGGTAAGTAGTTCTTTAATAGTTATAAGGAAACAAGACGCAACACGTCTCATGTTTATTTTATTACTATGAAGGATATTGTGAGAGAGAATATTGTAAGTTAATAGAAAATGATTTTAATTTTCAGTCTAGTTCATCATTGGATGAAGAGATTAAGCTACCGAGGGCAATTGTTTTCACGGAGGAGTCGTATGTATTGTAACAAAAATGTTACAATAAACTCCTCCCCGTCTCCTGGCTCGGGGTCCCATAGGCCTCGAGTATAGCGTCTTAGAGTTAAGTATTGTTAATTGCGTTTATTTAGTTGTTTTAGGTTTGTTGTAATTAGAGTAAGATCCCCCTCCCTCCCTGCCACCATTCCCCTTTCCCCGTAGGGCACTGGCTCGGGGACCATCTTCGAGGACCCACAGCCAACACCAGCAGGAAGGACATCAACGTGGACCTGCCACGAGGGAACAGCATCCCTGAATGGACCGCGAGAGCGGCTACGTCGCCGAGGCAGCGGAAGGCAGGGATGGCATGGGCAGGAGGACCAACAGATTATCGAGACTCCCGTGGGATGATGCCCGCCAGCCCGCCATCATCGCCACAGAGATGAAGCCCCGGTGCAGTCCCGTCACACGGGCAGGAAAACGTCCCGTGTGACAGCGGCGGAGCCCTCTCCCTCCGAGACCGCAGACGTGCCCGGGAGGATTGTGACAGGCCTGGAGGCCGCCATATTGACCGGCGCGCGCAGCCAGAACGCGCGCCGGC